AAAAAATAAAAATAAAAAATATATATATATATATTTTTTTTTTATTAATTTTCATGGTTTCATTTAAATATTAACAAAAAAAATATTACACAGAATAGTCACTTTACAAGTAAACCTATCTGAATGGAATGAAAAGTACATTTCAGAAACTACCATGAAATTATCAATTACACTCGCATAAAGTTTAACACCACGGCACACAATGTGATCTCATGTGGCATGGGTTATAAAAGTATACTTTTCATTTATTTTTTAATAGATATTTCAAAAATGCATTTTATCAAAGAGAGCTCCCAGAAAAATAATTTTCTTTTTTTTTTTTTTTTAAGGAAAACATATCAGAAAATCTGATCAAAAGAAGAAAATAAAAGAACAACCATCTGTAAAATCAAATCAGCATAGACATTGTAAACCTACAGAAAAGAGTATAAAACGTTTTTTTTTTTTTTTTTTGCTTGCTTTCATTTTTACTAAACTTTCCATTCATTTTCATTTTCAAATGGAATGAAATTCCAGTTTTAAATCTCAAAGTTTCGGATGCCACACAATATAGGCTATTTACTCAAAATTCACTCCAAAAAAAACAAAAAAACAGGACATTTATACTCAGAAGTTTATATTCAACCAAACAGGTAAAGATATCAATCAATACTGATCATCTCAAAATGGCCAAATGTCATCAGATTCTATCACTAGTCCTAACAATGTTTACTGAGTTTATCTAACCAGAGGTCTGAATAACGTCTGCTATCTGACTTTCCATTATGTTCAAGTATTAGCGTTCAGCTTGCATTAATCAGAATCAGAATCAGAATTAGCTTTATTCGCCACACGGTGCTGATGGTGCAGGTGTTGGATGTGAGTTTTCCCAGCCTCACTAGCTGCTGCCTGTCTGTCAGGAAGCTGGTTATCCACTGACAGATGGAGGTGGGCACAGAGAGCTGGGTCAGTTTATTCTCCGGGATGATGGTGTTGAAAGCGGAGCTTAAGTCCACAAACAAGATCCTTGCATAAGTCCCTGGTTTGTCCAGATGTTGGAGGATGTAGTGCAGTCCCATATTGACTGCATCATCCACAGACCTGTTTGCTCCATAAGCAAACTGCAGGGGGTCCAGCAAGAGTCCAGTAATGTCCTTCAAGTAGGCCAACACCAGTCTCTCAAATGACTTCATGACCACAGATGTTAAAGCAGCAGGTCTGTAGTCATTAAGTCCTGTGAGTTTCTTGGGTACAGGGATGATGGTGGAACATTTGAAGCAGGAGGGGACTACACACAGCTCCAGGGATCTGTTGAAGATCAATGTGAAGATGGCTGATAGCTGGACAGCACAGGCTTTGAGGCAGGCTGGAGAGACACTGTCTGGGCCTTTGGCTTTCCTTATCTTCTGCTTTCTGAAGACTTTGCATACATCCTCTTCACAGATCTTGAGTACAGGTTGAGAAACACCATTTGTATGTGTGTGTGTGCACCACACCATACATCATACACCAAACACCATACACTATTATATGTGTATACCAAACATACCAAACACCATACACTATTAAGATAGTGATCTTTCTGATTCGTTCTTTCTCTATTTCTCTCCTTCTTTCCATTCCAAATATTTCCAACTCACCTGCTTGCAATTTTTCAAGCAATATGTATTCAAGATTGTTGCGCGCTGAATGCAGCCAGTCCGTTCTATTTACTTTCACCAAAATAACTTTGAGAACCAAAAAAATGCTTAGAATACATTTGCAAGATTTTTTTTTTTCCAGAAAGGGTGGGAAAAGAATATCGGAGTAAACTGGGCATGAAGAGGAAAGTGAGAGTGACGAAGGAAAGCAATCTTGTTAGCGGGCTGCTGTAGCCCAGGGAAGATTTCTATCACATGCATATAGGGAGAGGCATCCATTTAGAAAATGACTTTTTCTGCACATGCTGGGCCATTTAGCACTCCCTGTGACGACTCCTGTTTGGGCCAAAGATAAATGCGCTTTTACAGACTCACTGCACACACACACTCAGACCACAGACTCAGCAATCTCCAGCTACTGAGAGTGCAAACACAAGCTTGCATGCATTCAGTGTCCCAAACTGATTTTCTAAAAGACACACACACACACACACATACGAATGGACAAATAAAACTAACTAAACTTATAACTTTATAACTAAACCGCGGAGGAATTTCAGACGAACAACTCATTTCAGTGTCCCAAACTGATTTTCTAAAAGACACACACACACACACACACACACACATACGAATGGACAAATAAAAAATGATTTTGCCTTGGCCTCCCTATCAGTTACTCTGCTGTGTATGCCAGCAGAATATATTTAATGCTAACAAACAAAAACTGTCAGAGCTTAAAAATAGTAATAGCCAGAGATACAATTTACTTCAAATAATTAGTTAATATTTAAATATATATTTAAAATAGTATGTGTGTGTGTGTGTGTGTGTGTGTGTGTGTGTATACCTGTTTTTCTATTCTGGTGGGGACTTAACCTGAATACACACAGACTCATTTCATGGTGGGGACCTAAATTGAGGTCCCCACGGGCAAACAAGCTAATAAATCAAGTTTTTTGAAAATCTAAAAATGCAGAAAATTTCCTGTAAGGGGTAGGTTTAGGTGTAGGGTTGGTATAGGGCAATAGAAAATACGGTCTGTACAGTAGAAAAACCATTACGCCTAAGGGTGCTCCGATTGATTTGAGATTTGACACATATTTGTTTCTCCACCTGTTAAACATCGTTAAGATGGGCAATTTGAGCGGTTATAGGTGTATTTTACCGTTAACGTAGGTACCAGTTGGCTTTGCTGAGCAGGCTCGGCATTTTCACGCCCACTGGAAGTTTATCCAGTCAGTCAGGCTTCGTGCGTTTGAGCTGGTATTCGTTACTGAGTAAAGTTAAGCGTTTATTTTTTTATTTTATTTTTTTATCAAGCGTTCAAGCAAGGATAATATAAGTTAACTTGAGGGAGACGACCCCAGAGCGGTTTTCTACGACACATGAACTAATCGTCACCAGTTTTGATTCTCGTCATCGTTAACGCAGGTTCATATAAACACAGCGACAGTAGATCCAAAGCGATTAATTATTAAAGCCATTGATTGTAACGACATATTTCCAGTAACATTTTAATAATATAATATGTTTATATACATATTTTTAAACAACGTATTTTGGACTTTTAGAAAAGAACTGTTCCAAACAGTGGTGTCATTATATTATCCCCCCGAGAATCTTAATTGATTATTCATAAACAGTCTACTGTATTTTTTTATATCGTCAGCTACAGTGTTGGGGAGTAATGCATTACAAGTAACGCGAGTTGCACGTGTAATCAGATTACTTTTTTTCAAGCATCTAGTAAAGTAATGCATTAGGCTACTTTTTAATTAATAAGAGTTACTTTTCAAATAAGTCACTCGTTACTTTGTTTCCCCATGTATTGACTGACCGCTCATACTCATCTCACTTACACAAAAACAGATTCAGAATCAGTATATCAAACTCAGAATATTATGCAAACCTGCAATAGTTAAATGGTAACACAAAAATTCTTTATGTAAAAAGTAACACACAAGTAACGTAACGACGCATTACTTTTCATAAAAAGTAACTAACGCAGTTACTTTTTTTTTAAAGAGTAACGCAATATTGTAACGCATTACTTTTAAAAGTAAAACTTATACCGTTTTACTGGTTCCCAGTAATAGTTTAAACTGATAAATGGCGGATTTTTACCAGTGTTGCCAACTAATTTTCAGTGGAAGTTGCTAAAGTGTTGTGATGACATTGCGTGATGACGTCATTACGTAATCACGATGCAAAATTGTCAAATCTCAGCAAAAACATATATATTTTATATATGTTAATTTAGATTTGTTCGTATCAATATAAATGCATAATATAATATTAAAATATAAATAACTACTTTTAAATGAATTTAATTATCGAAAACACACATTTTTGAACGATTACAATTTAAGTTTTATACTTTAAATATATATATATTCTATATATATATATATATATATATATATATATATATATATAAGTGTATATATAGAAATATACATTTGGTATTATATTACAGCATTTTATATTTTTATTTATTTATTATTTTTTATTATTCTAATATATTAATATACAAATATAATAATAATAATAATAGAATTTGAGATGGTGAAAATGATTCAACTATTCAATATTATAGAGTTTTAGATTATTATTTTAATTTCAGATTTTCACTCAAATGTTACACCTATAATCTAATTTTTAATAATAAAAAAAAGTATTAAAAACTGCATTTTTATGGCCTCAGACTATTTAAATATTAACAGATTATTTCACACAATTCAACAAATGATACAGAATTCTCATTTAACATGTGAAACATACATGTGAAATACTGTACACAATACAAAATATATAGTACTTCAGGCTTTCAGAATCTATTGTGAAATTATTGCTTAGTGCACAAGACTCTGACCGCTGTCAACAGAAAATGATTGTTATGAAATGTCACTATTGAAATGACCACAAAAAACACTGCTATTACTGTAATTATCTTATGCAACCACTGTTATCATAACATCATAAACAAGTTAAAGCTTCTTCCTAAGGCATCACAACAAAGGTAAATAATACAGTGTGATTATTATGGTCGATTCCACACTGATGTAGTGAAGAGAGACGCCTTTGCCCTAAAAACGACACAATATTTTTCCATCTAGCATGGCAGTACGGTGTAAAACAAGTTAAAGATGTTCAACTTACTCCTTTCATTTGCTGGACTCCAGTGACGAGCTGCAGCACCTTCTCCAGTTCCTTCTCTATGCGACCTGCCCAGTGCATCATCCTGTTAGACACAGAGAGCACTGGTTAACAGCAAATTTGTAATGATTACCGTCACACGATGGCTAAATCCCAATTCACATACTATCTGTCCTATATAGTGTGTGGCAACAGAACAGCACAGAACAGCACAGCACAGAATAGAATAGAATAGAATAGAATAGAATAGAATGACAGTGCTTGTTTTTTTTTCAGCTGTCTGGGAGTTGACACATAAAATAAAATAAAATAAAATAAAATAAAATAAAATAAAATAAACAATTAATACAAGTGCTTTTATTTTGACTGCGACCTTGTATGTCTCAGGAGCAAACTTATACTTTATTATGAACTTCCCATGTGTGTTTTTTTTATAGTAAAAGCTTCCTAATGATAACTTTACAATCTTCAGTGAAATCAAAATTGGGAGTTGCATTGCTTTTAGTGCATGTCCATTAGCTTTAAGATACGTCAACACATTAAATAAAACCATGCTCACCGAGTCATTTCATTGGGTCTTATATTTAAATTATTCCAGTGAGCGATCTGAAACCGGACTATAGTACCGCTCTATATTCATATACTGGTTTTACGGACAGTGTGACATTTCATAAAAAGCGTAATATCTACTAGAGCACATCTGCAGTCATGAGGTGTTTTAACATTCAGTGTTCGGGAAACTGATGGAGAACATTACAGGGGAATTTCAGCAGTGTCACACAAACCCTATAACGGTTTTATCTGCTAGTGCCTAATGGTCAGAGATTTGCAACCACGGCCCAGGGACATAAATAACCCTTATCTGTGTTACACAGCCTGAGTATAGCCCCAAAAGAAATGCTGTATGTGTGTGTGTTTCTGACTGAGCAGTCTTACTTACTTGATAAGAATGAATGAACCCAGCTATTCTATTAGCATTTAATAATATAATGCGTTTAAAATAAAAACTTATTGTGGGACTTCAAAAGAGCTGTTTGAACTATTTTTACTATATTTCTGGGTGCTTTGTTGGGGGGGGGCATGTTTTTCACCATCACACTGAAAATAAAATGTCAAATACACCACAATGTACTGTAATAACATTTTACAGGTGTTTTACCTGTATTTATCATTTTGCACTTCACTGCATTGTGTTTTAGGGTTAACGGAAACAGTGCAGTGCTTAATGCAATTATTGTGCTTAATAAAGGTATTATATTTGGGATTCAAATAAATAGCATGACACTGTTATCATTAATCGTGTGTCATAACATCAAAGATATTATAAATTAAAAGAAGTCAAAGGCATTCAATCAAAACAGATGGACAAAAAAATATATTTTCAGACACGCAGCAGGACCTTTATGGCTTATTAGCATTTGACAGTGATTTTATATTGAACAATTAATATAAATGTTTTTGTTTGGACTGTGACCTTGTGACCTTGAATGTCCCAGGAGGAAGAAGAACAGCACATTTGCATGAGTACATGATGACAGGATCTTTATTTTGAAGAAAGTAAACAGGCTCAATTTGGATTCTTCTTGACTTTAATCACTACCCTTCCAAACTCTCATCCTCTCTTTCTCTCTCTCTGGCAATGGGCTGCTCGGTTGTTGGCAGGTAAGTGTGGATGTTTAAGGAGCCGAATGATAAAGAAAGCCTGGTTCTGACGGAAGTGCCTCCCTAAGCAGCAACAACACTTACTAACTGGGCCAAACCCGAATGAAGTGATCAAACATCCGCAAATCAGAGTTGTATATCTGCCTACAGCTCCTATAAAGCTCTTAACACAATAAGATTTAGCAGAAGAGAGATGGATAGAGAGTGGAAGGTAAGATGATGCTGTCTTAGGCCAGGAACCTTCTGTACGCGAGTACACAAACACAGACTGCACTGCAAATGTGCATCTTGTTGTACGTACTTATAGGGATGAAACTTCTGTCATCATTTTGGAACAGGTTTGGAACACCCTCATGTTGTTCCAAACCTGTATGACTTTCTTTCTGTCATAAAACACATAAAATATGCTGTTGTTTTAAATTGCGCAATGCAAATAAACTTGACACTGACATAACAGTAGTGCATAAAAGTTCTGTGCAAAGTCATATGATAGCTTTGTTTGAGGAACAGACTGAAATGTACATGTTATTCACTGAATGTCATGGTCACAATTCACTTTCAACAAAACAATAATTTTTATTGTAGCATTTAAATACAAGAAATAAAATTTAAAAAATGTTTTAAAAAAAAGTAAATGAATAAAATAAAATAAATAAATAAATACAGGAATGGCAGTGCTCGTTCTTTCCGGCTATGCGAGAGCTGACAAGGAAGCAAAAAGGAGTAATAAATAAATAAATAAGTTAATTAATTAATTCAATTAAAAAAGGAATGACAGCAACTGTCCAGGAGTTGAAACTAAACTAAAATAAAGCCAGAAAAAAATGAGAAAATAATTGTATTCATTTATTAATTTTTTTTTTTTTAAACTTATTTGGGTAATCTCGTCCTTTTTCATGTTATTTTATCATAGCTTAAGAGTATTGCATATTTACACAAATAAGTGAATATATTATAGCCCTTTTTGGAAATTACAAGAACAGTTATTCCAGTGGAAACAGACCAATTAAAAAAATGTGAAAAGGAAACAAATAAATAAATGAATAAATAAATCAATGTTCATCAAGAAAATTGTTTTTTAAACACAAATGAAAAATGTTTGAGACGCAAAAAAAAAAAAAAAGATAAAGGAAAAAATAAATATTGTTGTTGTTGTTTGTTTAACCAAGACACAAAAATAACTCTGCAACCTGAAATTAATTATATATAATAGCTGAATTTTGGAATAATGTTATAAACTGCTGTCTGAACTTGCGGGAACAATGATGCATCATATTAAGTATAGTCAGAAGCATTAACTTAGAGTATGTTTCCGAGTTCAGACCTAAGATAAAAGATAATGGATGCCCACATAAGCAAAAACACACCCACCTATGAGCGAATACACAATGAATTATCTGGCTTTTCTAATATACACGTGCACATATTCACACTAAAAGCTTTAGGGGCTTTTAGCACCTACATCTCAACAAGCTGGGTAAAAAGCACTAAGAAACACTGACTGAGACCAAAGTAATGGCATGCATGAACGCAATCATAACTTCTTTCAGTGCTGAGTAAACCTTAAAACACCCACAAATAGTCCAGTGCTTTCAGAGCACTGATTTCAGATATTTACTCTCTCTATTACAGCTGTTTCACTGCAAATCCAAAGAAGCTGGTAACAATATGACCCTCTCTCCTCTATCTCCACCATCAGCTGAGCAACTTGGTTATTTGTCATTGAATGATAGCACAGAAAAAAATGTCAACGTGAAATGTCAGCTTCATCTGAATGACAAGGATAGGAAGATCAGTGAAAGAATGAGTCACAACGGCAACAAAGAAAGCACACTTCTCCAAAAATCCACAACTGGCATCTAATGCGGTTGAAGCACTGTTTTCCTCATACGCAAGTGAAAACTCGCCATGATTTGTTAGACACAGGATTTACAACAAAGTACATACAGCACACAAGCATTTCATTTCTTCTAGAGTGCCAAACAACACATAATGAACCACTTTTTTTTTCATTTTTTGAAGAAAGTTTACGAAGTGCTTGCCTATGCACAACTCAGTGCCATGATGTTTGAGATATTTGAGAAAACTATACTTTTTGTATTACACTGCAGAGGTGTTCTGAGGGATTTCTTTGGCATTTCTAAGGTGCTCTGATGGTTCCCTTTCATGGGAACTTCGAACTGCGTCCTCTAGGGGTCGCTATGGGGAACGCCTCGTCGTGACCCGTGTCTGAAGCATACATTGAAAAAACACCAACTCGTTGGCCGGCGACAGCCATGACGTAACTACCGGTGCGACTATAGAATAAATAGGCGCCGGGAGCACACATCATTCACTTCTTCGTCTGAAGCTTGCGTCCGCAGCATGGCAAGAAAACCTAGAGGACGCAGTGTCTCGTTCCCTACTCAGGGAACCATGGTTACATAAGTAACCTGAGACGTTCCCTTTCATGGGAACTTCGAACTGCGTCCTCTAGGGGTCGCTATGGGGAACGCCTCGTCGTGACCCGTGTCTGAAGCATACATTGAAAAAACACCAACTCGTTGGCCGGCGACAGCCATGACGTAACTACCGGTGCGACTATAGAATAAATAGGCGCCGGGAGCACACATCATTCACTTCTTCGTCTGAAGCTTGCGTCCGCAGCATGGCAAGAAAACCTAGAGGACGCAGTGTCTCGTTCCCTACTCAGGGAACCATGGTTACATAAGTAACCTGAGACGTTCCCTTTCATGGGAACTTCGAACTGCGTCCTCTAGGGGTCGCTATGGGGAACGCCTCGTCGTGACCCGTGTCTGAAGCATACATTGAAAAAACACCAACTCGTTGGCCGGCGACAGCCATGACGTAACTACCGGTGCGACTATAGAATAAATAGGCGCCGGGAGCACACATCATTCACTTCTTCGTCTGAAGCTTGCGTCCGCAGCATGGCAAGAAAACCTAGAGGACGCAGTGTCTCGTTCCCTACTCAGGGAACCATGGTTACATAAGTAACCTGAGACGTTCCCTTTCATGGGAACTTCGAACTGCGTCCTCTAGGGGTCGCTATGGGGAACGCCTCGTCGTGACCCGTGTCTGAAGCATACATTGAAAAAACACCAACTCGTTGGCCGGCGACAGCCATGACGTAACTACCGGTGCGACTATAGAATAAATAGGCGCCGGGAGCACACATCATTCACTTCTTCGTCTGAAGCTTGCGTCCGCAGCATGGCAAGAAAACCTAGAGGACGCAGTGTCTCGTTCCCTACTCAGGGAACCATGGTTACATAAGTAACCTGAGACGTTCCCTTTCATGGGAACTTCGAACTGCGTCCTCTAGGGGTCGCTATGGGGAACGCCTCGTCGTGACCCGTGTCTGAAGCATACATTGAAAAAACACCAACTCGTTGGCCGGCGACAGCCATGACGTAACTACCG